TTTACATGAAAAAATGGTCATTTTATAAGAATGTTTATAGAAGATCTTACCTTGAGCTTTTTTGCATCATTATTACAGGTCTTTGAACAGTACCAGAAATGATTCCTGATAGATGGTGCCCACAACTTCAGTTGTTCATTATTTTTAGCTTTGGCCACCTAAAAACAAAGCATAATATTATACAGTACTTAAACACAACAATGTTAAATAGTATACAGCTGTTTTAGCACATCTTAAATATACCGTATATTAAATTTGCATTTAGCTTGAGTAACGTATTACTCAAAATTCAAAAACTTTCAGACAGCTATTATTTCAAGGTATAGAATAAATAATTGCAGGGACCACTGAGTATTTTCCTAATGCACAGAACAATAGTTACTCGGACTTTATATATGTACAATATCTTATGAAAATACTTGGTTTTATTGTATTGTTTCTGTAATACCATATACTGTAATTGTTCTTTTACTTTTATATACTTAGCTGAGTTTGGACCATATAATTTGATCAAATACTTACAGCATTAACTTTTTTCGCAATGTTTTTTCCACCATGCCATACGTCATTCTGATGGCCAACATTTCGATACTTTTCTGCCTTTTCTAATGTAAAAGAGACAATGAGTAGTACAATCATGAAATACACAGTAAAAAGTACAAACTGCAGTGAAAAGAGGCCAGGAAGTAGTGGAAAGAATTATGGAAATCACTCAGTATTTTAAGAAAATACAAAAAAACAGTAACTCCAAATAACATTTGATTTTTAATATACGTTTTGAATATTTTGTAGTCATCGTCAGGATTATTCAGAGTTACTGTTTTTTTAGTGGAAAGAGTTTGCCAACTTTTATATATTGGTTTAATTCATGTAGAAACAGAGTTGGATTAGGAATTCTTGAGATATCAATAAACATTGGTTGTTGCTTGGATGACATATCAATTTGACAAAGTTGACACTTACTCATCACTGATGCAATCTCAAGGTGACCATCTGTAACCACCTCTTTGACGATTATTGGTGATTCCACGTGAAGTGCATCCATCCCTCTTTCAAACCCAATCCTCTCCATGTTGTTGCTCTTTCCAGAGGCTTCCCTTACATCCACAACATTCATTTGGAGGATAGCGTTATCTTGCATATCTGCCAGGCTGTAGGTGCAATATTGGGCAGAATGACCAGGAGAGTCATTCCTTCCATCTCCACTCAATATGACATCTTTACCAGCCTTTTCACTCCAAAGTTGTTGCTTATGTTGTTCCCAGAACTCATTGATTGTAGGGATGATGTACAACTTCTGATACTGGTTGAACAGTGTAGATGAAAAATACTGCAGATTACAGAAGTTGAACATCAGCCCTACTTTGGTATATGAGTTACCTGACAACAACAAAGCAGACGAAAGTATCAGATTTCCTGCTCTGATCTTGTTACAAGATGGTTGAGCTGCCCATCTCCCACCAACATGCCCAGACGGACACTTCCAGGATACCACAAGGCATGTTCCCACATAGATTTTACGATAAAGCAAGGGACGACCACAATCTTGTCGTTTACAGACACTCCCATGTAGAGATGTGAGCAATGACATAAGAGTGTCTGTAAAAACAATACACTTTTCCATTTTTATGGCTTGTTCTGGGGTGACAACTTCTACGGTTGAGACACACTGATGTAATGTAGCTGGTTGGCTGGATCCGCCTTCTTCAATCCCATCATCAGGCTCATCTCCATCATGTCCATTGATAGTTACATTGAGCAAGTCATCTACCAATGGTTGATCAAAACCAGGATCAAATGATCTAAAATTTCAGGTATACAAGTATGTGCTATATATGGTATAGTTATGTATTGATAACATGGATTTACTGTCGTTCCAATTGAAGTGTTGCTCAAATATTGATTCAATACATTACCTTGGGCTGACCAATTCATTTGATCAAGTTCCTCGAGATATTCATACACTTCCTGTGAAAGAGCCAATTCCAAGTATTTGATCATTTCTGGTCACTTCCTTTCTATTTATGATTGGTTAGTTGCACAAACAACAAAGGTGATTGGTGCATTCAAACTATTCAACTGGAAGTTTACAATTATACTAGGAAGTGTATGAATATCTCGAGGAACTTGATGAAATGAATTGGTCAGCCCGAGGTAATGTATTTAATCAATATTTGAGCAACACTTCAATTGGAACGACAGTAATATATTTCTAAAGAATTCTTGACTTACCAATAAAATAATTATACTGCCTGTAATAAATTTGTATCAATAGTATAAATAACAGACTCTTACTTACTCATGAAAATCGAATTCATCAAGAGGAGACAGCAGGTCAGGGTCCCTTCTGGTGGCCGGGTCGTCAGTTAAGTCACCAATGTCACCTTCACTTTCTTCACTATCACTTTTCATGCCAGGAGAACTTGCACTCAAGGTCTCTTCACTTATGGGATATGGGTCAGATCTAATAAGTAAAAATATACAGTAAAGCTATATAGCAGAAAATTATTGGTTAAAGATAGGGTACAGTCCGGTCTGCGCATGCACACATAGGAGTTTCATGCCGTGATATAAACACTTTAATTAGGTTTTTATTTCATTTTACAAAGTGACTATATGACGGCAGCCGGTCACGGTTTATCAAATACTAAATGGCCGGCAGTCTAGTGACTATAGTTATACGGTAAGGGCGCTGCGTGCGGAAAGTTAAACGCAGTCGGGATGTGTTTTGTCTGACTTAGCATTGTTTTTTCTTAAAATTTTTTAAACTTTTTTTTCCGACTTTTCTAACTCTCAAAAGGTTAGGGTTAGGGGTTAGGGTTAGAAAAGGGTTTGGGGTTGGGGACAGGTTTATCTTATAAAAATTCAACTTTAACAATAGTCACTAGACTGCCGGCCATTTAGTATTTGATAAACCGTGACCGGCTGCCGGTCATATAGTCACTTTGTTCATTTTATGTTCTTGCAAAGCCTGATTGTTGTATCTTGATCATTGATTATACTGTAGAAGCATGAAAATATAAATAGTTGTCGAATAAAGTTCAATATTTTGAATACCGAAATGTAAACAAAGGCTTTGTTTACATACGGACTGTACCCTACCTTTAACAGTAATTTTTCATTGTTTGTTTGCATTTGTTCGAACAATGAGATGTGATAATGATAGAGTTGAGACTCAAATTACTGTACCGGAAAGACTTTGCAGACAATGTTGAAATTGTATCCACAGACAAGCGCCGCCGACTTCTTGTAGTTGTAGCGCTTGGTGTTGAACTATCAACTAGATAAAAGAACATCCTAGTTACATTCGCTTGTCATATGTGTTCATGAGCATCATATAAACGTGTTTTAATTTAATAATTACGGCAACAACAATATCTTACCAGGAAGGGGGAAATCATGTTCATTCCTGCTTCTGGTCGGAGGTGTCACTGTATCGCTTGACAATGTGCTCGCCTCGTCCGTTTGAATCTCTGCGTCGCTAAAACATGCAAATATATTTATCAATACAGTACATTATAGCTATATATGATACGAATTTAAAGCTCAAATGTTTTCTTGTCTCATGTCTTATCATCACACACCGAACGTTCAGATTCCTAGTTGCCATGTATCGATCAAGCAGCATGTTCGCAACATCCCTGTCAGTTTCTATGCCATTTTCTTCTTTGAACGCTCTCCACCGAGGAAAGCTATCAAGCAGATATACTCTTGAAGCATTCCTTCTATCAAAATATTCTTTTCTACTTGCCATTTGGCCTCAATATAAAGTATTTTGAGAATCGATTCCAGTTGAAAGCAGTCAAGCTATTCGTTCACGCTCCTCACGATGCTGCACAGAAAATGCGCGTGTTATTGACACGTTTGAGACTGGACCGAGCACAAACAGAGGATGACAACTTCCTGTGTCCCCACATAAACAAAAGTCCAGCGCATGCGCAGATGCGACTGTAACCTACCTTTAAGAAATCAAATCGCTCAACAAACACTTCACGTTTGCGGTGAAAGACACTTTGAAAAGACCCAGCCGAAACATGTAAGTTATTCTCTTTCTCTGGTAGAGGTATTGATATTTCGGTATGAACGCTTGAAAGTTACAACTTAGCAGAAGTACAGTACTGTATCTCGTACTGTATATATTTCATGTATCAAATGATCAAATTTGTATTAACCATATGGTCATAGAGCAGGAAAAATATATTAAATATTAATGATTTGCATAAAAGTGCGTTTCGGTCATTAGGTCATATTTATATAACAGTTAATCCTTGTGTTCATAAAATGAAGATATACATATTATTCAGGACACTGTCACTGAGGACAGTAGAAACATTTTCGTATACAGTAAACAAAGTATTATACAATATTCAAAGGCTATTTTAATAGCAAGAAACTGGCATAATAAAGTGAACTTTGTTTGGCCATGTCATAGTATATGAAAGCCCCACTTACAGTTATTATAAATCTTGTTTGCTGTGAATTTTATTATAATATTTACTATCTTAACAATACTTGTATAAATTAAGTCAACTTACTGTATATATAATCAGATATTTTATGTTCTGCTTTAGTTCCCTCCTGCAAAAGGCTTGTAGCTGGTGCTATTCCTACCTTTAATTTACCCCAGAAAAGCATACCTTGCTATATCAACAATTGGAGCCAGGTAACATTGCTGGTCGTCACACTGGTCAGAGGAGTAAATGGTATGGTGGATTAGAAAAGGCCTTGCCGTAACATAAAACAGAAGTAATCTAGTGAGAACTTTTTGGGGGTTTTAAATGTACCCAGAGCTGTCATTAAGGGCCTGTAGCTTGCCTACTTCTGTCTGAACAAAGTTCATATAAACAAAACTGCGAAGCAATAAACAAACCTTTTACTTCCTCTAGTCAGAACATCAAAATTAAATTAAGTAAATTGAGAGGTCTGGCGTGAGAGCGTGAGACTGAAGCGAATTGCGCGACAAATGACAAAATTTGGAAGCACGGAGCTGGAGCACGGCCGAGCACGACAAATGACAAAATTTGAAACTTAACAGCCATACAGTTTACCAATATTCTCAAAACACAAGGATGTACTGGCATTCTTTTGATACTGCAATGCTATTAGATTGCTCAATAATGTCATTCCACAAACTTTTTGCTAATGGAGGAGCTTGGACATTCTTAACTTTATCAACGTGTAAAGAAGTAGGTTTGCCTTAATTCTTGTGTGCTTTCTAAAGCACGATTCAGCAATTCTAGCAATATCATTAAGTCATGAATTTGGTACCCACAGGGCTGACAGCCCCTCCCCAGCATCATAAGCTGGGTGGTCCAAACTCTTCTGATTTCACTGATAATTACTAGCAGAATACAAACATTAAAAAATATTTCTGGGTATATTGGCCTTTGCACATAGATAAAATCTTCTGGCATCCAACAGTTGGTCTACAAAGCATTTGGAGAGGAATAAGAACTAAGTTTAATACCCTTAGGTCAATATTGTACTATACAGAGGAAATATCAAAATTTGATATTTCCTCTGTATGATATTTCCTTTGATATCTCCTTTGTCTAATATATTATAAGACTTGGTCTTGGAAACTGTGGGATGGGCATGAAATCTTGGAATAACATTCTATTTTGATGTGACAGAATGATCAAAAGTAACAAATCGCATGTTAGTAGACATTGAATCACTGTATATTGGTCAACATCTGGACTTGTAATTGACAATTGGACATAAGCCACACGGCCTACTATTTAAGACATTCATATCTAGGTTACAGTATATTGTCTATATATACAGTATTAAGATATTTACTGGTATTAAAGCATGCAGTTTCTTCAGTGTTTATAGTAACTTTAGAATATCTGCTGGTAATAGCAAAGTCAACCGTTCGGGCATATTCACCAGCATCAAAAGCACGATTTTATCTTCTCTGTGTGGATGAAAATATTCTTTCCTTTTCCCTACCTCTCGAATGATCGACAATGCCTTCTCATATGCGTGATAAGTCATATAACATGGGTTTTGATTTTCCCTTTGGCAGTACTAGCTGTAGAATTTGTCGAGTGCTCAATACTGCGTCGATATTCGCACGGGAATTGCTTTAATCCTTCAATCTAAACGACAAATATAAGTCAAATATTAAGTCTAAGGCATCTCACTACATATTGTTCAATTGGACACAGTATAAAGGACTTACTTCTTCAACTGAACGCGATATTTCTTCAGTTAATTCATCCGCGTTGATTTGCAGCAGCTAAATAGTTTGATGAAAATCGCCTCCGTCGTTGTATCTGCGTCTCCAGCACCCAGAATTGGGTGAATTTTGCTTTCTGAATCGTATGCCGAACTTGTCGAAGCCATAACAAGAACAACAATGCCTTATTTTAAAATTTATAAGCACAATAGCATATTTCTATAATACTACGCTATAGTAATTTCTGAATTTGATGCACCCGAAATGTCACGTGACGTACCTTTTCAACATCTGAAATTAATTAGCTCGAAAGCCTTTGAAGTTTGCCGGCCTTCCAAACCCTCTCCTCTATTAACTATGGTTGAGCGGAATAGAGCTACCCTGGACGTTAAGAGTAGGTTTGAGTTTAGATGTAAAAAGGCTTTCGTGAATCAATAATTCACAAGTAGTATTTATCAATTATTCATCAATAATTCGGTTTTTATCTAGTCTGAAGATGTCTTACTGTCGTTCCAATTGAAGTGTTGCTCAAATATTGATTCAATACATTACCTCGGGCTGACCTATTCATTTCATCAAGTTCCTCGAGATATTCATACACTTCCTAGTATAATTGCAAACTTCCTGTTGAATAGTTTGAATGCACCAATCACCTTTGTTGTTTGTGCAACTAACCAATCATAAATAGAAAGGAAGTGACCAGAAATGATCAAATACTTGGAATTGGCTCTTTCACAGGAAGCGTATGAATATCTCGAGGAACTTGATCAAATGAATTGGTCAGCCCGAGGTAATGTATTGAATCAATATTTGAGCAACACTTCAATAGTTCAATTGGAATGACAGTAAAGACGAAACGTTACAATTAAAATTCTTTACAATCTTTTAAAACTGTTTTAATGGCTTTGTTAAAAGTTATATGTTGGGCTCTCATATTTATTATACGAATTCGTTTTCCGCCTGGCAAATCTCTGGCAACGATATTGTTTTTAGTGATTGTGTGACGTCATTTTTGAGTGCTAGTTCTCAGAAAGGGGAAGTCCCATACCAGGAAGTGAGGCGTTTCGAAATTTTGTCATCGAGTTATTGACTATCGAGGTGAAAAGCATGTTGTTATAGTAAAGATAGAGGTCCAAGAATTAAATACAGATGCTTAAGTTTGAAAGCGGGACTGAATGATGATATTGCAGAGCTTGCAGCCGTGTAATTAATGGTAAGATTTGTAACTTTTTGTACGGTATGTAATTATTCTCTGGCAAATGTATTACACAGACGCCATTTTTGCTTGAAGTTCGAAAGTCGATTATCTTAACCCTAGGTTAACCTAAACTCAAAGCAAGTTTCCAAACAGCTTGATTATAAATTTGGAAATATTTCTACCGAAATCGTGCCTGTGTTATAAATTTGGAAATATTTCTACGGAAATCTTGTCTAGGTGATACGTGCAGAAATGAGAAATGCATAAACTCGAACAGCAGGTTAAATTTTAACCAAAGGTTTATAGCGCTAATCTAGCTTTGAATTAGCTTTGACCAACCTTTAGATAGATAGATAGATAGTTTATTAAGTTTAAAATTTTACAGCTCCCAATACAACCACAGCTGAATTATACATAAACTTTACAATCATGACTAATTAAATATATCTATTTTAAAAATTTGATTAAAACTATGAAAAATGTATCTGTCCTAAATTAGTTTGTTTTAATTTATTATTGCGCAACACTACAATTGGGTTTATATGTATTGTTCCTTTACATTTGCCATAATAAAACTGTTTTGGAATCTGTTCGTTTTACACACTGGATAGTTAAACATGTTCTTACGTCTCAAATTCATACTAGATCTATTTTTCTCTGGTAACAGTGCATGCAGTTTATGAGATGTATTTTGAACAATATCGTTGAACAGTTTTTTCGTTAGAGTATCTCTTCTGCTGTACAAGGAGTCCAAACCAGCTTGCTCTAACGCATCACAATATGGTATATGTGGGAAAATGATACCGAGTGCTCGTTTTTGTAGTTTTTCCAAGTCATCAGATAGATATTTAGTGAGAGAATTATGGAAAACGTGACAGGCATATTCTGTTACTGGACGCACGCAAGTTAAGTAGAATAGCAGCATCTCTTTCGTTGCAAGGCCAGCTCGTTTAAGTTGTTTAAGAAAGTACAGTCTAGTTGACACTTTTCGTACGATCTCAGAAATGTGCGTATTCCACTTAAGATCATTTGAGATGTTAAGACCTAATAGCTTTACCGATGTAACTACTTCAATGTCTTTGTCATTAATGCGAATAGGGGCAAAATCGGGCTTAAACTTCGCGAAAGATATGCGTAACTCTTTGCACTTCGTTTCATTTAACTGAAATTTGTTAGCTAAGGACTGGGTCGACAGATCTTCGACGTACTCTTGCATGGCACTTGCATCATTCTTCAACACAGTTTCTGCAACCGTTGTATCGTCAACATACTTCCACTGGTCAACATCTGCTACACCAACAGTGTTTATCATAATCAGATAAAGCCATGGACCAAGTTTAGTTCCTTGGGGAACATCGGCTGGAACAGTTTCCCATTCTGAGTAGCAATCGTTGCTCAGTTTCACCCTTTGTTTACGATCCGTCAGGAAATCGAGTATCCAGCACACAATGCACGGCGGAAGGTCATAGTTGGAGAGCTTTCGTTTAAGGATGTTATGGTCGATCAAGTCAAAGGCTTTTTTAAAATCGAATAAGACCACTCTAACAGATGATCCAGACCCATCCGTAGCTTTATTCCAACAGTGAAGCATACTAATTAGCGCTTGTATTGTCGATGATTTTGGAACAGTTCCAAACTGCTCATTCCCAATCTTCTTTAGGACAGCTGGTTTGACAAAATCGCGAACTACAAAACCCTCGCCAATCTTAGAAAGGATAGATGTTAAGGAGATTGGACGAAGGTGCTTGTTGACATCAGATATTGGCTTCTTTTTGGGAATCGGTACAATATCTGCTTTTTTCCAGGATTTTGGTAACCGGCCAGTACTATACGAGTGGTTTAATATATCTTTCACCGAATCTGCTAGTAGGTCGGCGTTTTCTTTCAGCAACCAAGTTGGAATGCCATCTGGGCCGTGAGCTTTAGTTGGAATCAACGATGAAAGTTCCTTGTACACATCTTCAGCGGTAACTACAAGGGCGGGGTAATTCAGGGGTAATTCATCATTGGCATCATGTAGTAACGGCTGGAAGGTATTCATTGGAGTAAGAAAGGTTGAGTTGATCATGTTAGCTATATCGGTGCTACTAGCGTTTAATTCTAAGTGTTGCAACAGATTTACTAAATCGTCACGCGTTCCAGCTGTTGGTGTCATTCCACTTAGTTTTTTTACCTCTTTCCACCAAAGCGAGGGTTTGCTTTCTTTTAGATGTTGGACTTTGGCGTGATAGTACTTTGATCGGCATGTCTTCCGTTCTCGATTAACACGATTCCTTAAGCGTCGGAACTCATCATGATTTCCTTGGGCAAGAGCTATTTGGCGACTTCTTATGAGGCGTTTGAGGGTAGAATTCATCCATGGAGGTTCACTCAGATGTATTGTTTTGGATCGAAGAGGGATAATGTGATCTAGTCCAGTCTTGACTATCTCCTCAAATAAGGAAACCTTTTCCTCACAAGTAGACACGCTGTTAAGCATAGACGCGACATCAACGAGCTCGAGGTATGATCGAACGGCTAGACGGTTGCTGGCACGCATGTCTCTCGATTTCACTTTTTGTTTCGATGGTGGGAAATGAGATCTTGCTTGGGGTTGGACTTCGACGGATACATGATCTGAGAGGCCAAAGGGGGCTCGTTTGATCGGATCTTTAAACATTTCTTTGAGGTTAGTCAGTACTAAGTCTAGGGTGTTAGAACCTCTAGTCGGAAATTTGACAATTTGTTTTAAATTGTAGCTCCTATTTAAACTTGCAATGTTTAGTTGATTGAAATCGCCAAGAAGGATAATTCCACTGTTAGGGTACCGCGATTCGATGGTTGACAAACAATTTGTAAGATATTCTAGCATAGCAAAATTACTGGAGCTCGGTGGATGGTAAACAATTCCCAAGACTATGTTATTTACGCCCCTCGGGAGTCTTGTCGGACGAAGTTTAATCCACAAAACCTCGAGTGGAGATTCGGATAAGTCCTCGAGTACAATAAATGGAATCAAGTCTTTGATGAAAACACAGACTCCACCGTGCGAACCTTCCTGTCGATCTTTTCTTATTAGATTGAACCCGTTTATTGACACCACAGAGTCTTGGATGTGGCAATGAAGCCAGGTCTCAGTCAAACAAATTAAGTCTAAGTTTGCATAATGGGCATAATGGCGAACTTCGTCAATCTTGGGTGCTAACGACATTACGTTGGACAAAAGCACAGATGGAAGGAACACATTCTCTGATCTTGTCTGTAAATTGGCATTTGTAACAGTACTCGATAAAGGAATGTATGTACAATTCGTTGGATTATGAGTTCTTAAGGATTTTATGACTGCACGCTTGATTTCCCTTCGGCTCGATTGAACAGTGTTTATCTTGAAAAGTCTTGTCGCTTCTCTCTCCTTTACCAATCTTCCCGCTCTCCGGCCACGATAAAGCGACCATATCTTCTTTGTAGAACAATTACAATTTAAAAACGATCGAATTCTTTGGCATAGAATTCCTTTGAAAATTTATTTCTGTACTGTACAAGTAGAATTTACTGAAAATATGACCAAATAACTATAGCCATGTGACATATTGATATACTCTAAGGGACGGACCATTTGATTTTTCATGGGGGGGGGGCGCAAATCCGAAAAAAAATATCGAGCATGTCTCGAATGGAAGAAAAAAAAAATCGAACATCACTAACACCAGCAAAAAAAAATATCGAGCACAAAAAAATTCTAAATTAGCAAAACTCTATATTGAAAGAAAAATTCAGTTCCCCTTAGTTTTTTTCTGTTGAGTGTTTCGGTTCTGCCTTGGTATACATGCAAAATACAAACCGATACAAACCAGTTCTGACAACTTTGACTTCAATAATTCAATTATCCACAAATTACCTTAATGGTATCCCTAAAAACCCCAATCTTAACACTGAAAGTCCCACACTTCTGTAAATTCGACATCGATTAATGAGGGTGGGAAAGGGGAGGGGGTATGATTCACGTTTCACAACAAAAAAATACCGTTTCACAATTCACGTGCCATAAAAAAGCAATTTCACATTTCACGGATAACGAGACTCTAATAAAAATAATATAATAATAATAGCTTTAAGATTATGTTTAATGCATGGTACAGTACTACGCTTTAAGTTCTCTTCTCTGCCTGGCAGTTAAAAACTACTTACAAGTTTGAGTGATGAGTACGTCCGACGATCTCCGAAAGGCCTCCGAAGTTTCTACTCTTGTGCAATCGAGTGAGATCGATCATATAAATTATTATCGCGTATTATGTCCATTATCACTATTATAAATTAGATCGGAATATAAACAAATCAAAATCACAGTTCACGAAACAGACATCCTTAATTCCCATTTCACGGAGCATTTTTTGATCGACAATCACGCCTCACGGCTGTAGAACAAATCACAGATCATGACAGCAAAATCAAGCATTTCACACGATCAAATATTGACCATTCACGCAGTGGCGTAGACAAGGGGGGGGGGACTCAGCCCCCCCCCCAATAGGCTGATGGACTGCCCTTGTAAAAAGATGAAATCCGGGTAGAAATTAGGGGGGGACGATGACTACCCATGTGACTACCAATCTCATCTGTTCACCAAATTGTCTATAAAAGTTCTAATCTTTCCTAAATCTAACTACAGAAAATAATGCCTATGGTGGTTATTGGTTAAAATGCGTTTTAAAACTTCGATTTAACTATTCACACGCGACCGAGTCAAACTAAGGATCCACATTATTGAGAAATCATTAAAAATCAGGTCTTTCCTGCAGTAAATAATCTTCAGAATTATGCAAAATCTCTCCCCAGAAACACGGGAAATCGCCATTGAGGGACTCCAGATTTCAAAATTTTCCCGGGGGAGAATGCCCCCGCGACCCCCCTAAAAAGGCTAAGGCCTTTGGCGTTCGATATATGCCCTCCCAAAAATTATAGTCTGGCTACGCCACTGCATTCACAGGTCACAAAAATACCCTTTCCCACCCGGCTCATTAATATCGCTCTCTGATTCTGAATAAAAATCGCAGTTTATAATACGTATTGGGAACACTGATACGATTGGGAACCATGAGAATTTGTATATAGATGCCATTACGCCAATGCAAAATGGGTTACACACTTTAATACACTTGATCCAATTTTGATTGGGACTATGGTCTACATTTCGTAAACCATAGCCCCGTATAAAATGGGCCAAGTATAACAGTGGCCAAGTATAAAATGGGCTGTGATAGTTATATCATAGAATAGGAAGGTATACCAGAAGTCTCACTCAAGCAAGTATTTGTCCGCGTTTTTACAAGCGATTCGTCCGATCATCAATCACGCCATCCTGGCACTTTGTACCTATCAAAACCTGATAAAAACTTCCGGCTGTACTAGCCAGGATGGTGTGAGCGAGTTAAAATTTTCGTGGGTTACACTTCTGCTATAGTTTCCTATTTTGTGGTTATATGCCCGCTGTATATTCAAATACATTCTTCAACCGGAATATAACTATACGTGGTTATTATGGTATTAACGCTATAGTAAAAATTTTAAAAAATATCGTGCACGCGGCAAGATTCGATAAAAAAAATCGTGCGGAGTCGGTGAGGTCCAAAAAAAAATCGAGCACTCTCAAAAATGCGCCCCCCCCCCATGAAAAATCAAATGGTCCGTCCCTAAGGTAGTGTAAGCAAGATCACCTTCTATCATTTTTGATATATTTTGGGTTGGAACCTGTGGGGGTTGTAACATCCCAGAGGGGGCCCTGGATTTGCGGAACGTGTTAATTTGCAGGACAAATCTGTTTCCCTCTCACCGTGATATATATGGTAGATACCATTTCCAGGCCTGTCAGTATGAGGATGTGTCTGCAACCTTCTGTGGAAGAACCAACCTGTTAGGAACCCACAAACATGGGAGAACTAAACAAGCAGTCCATCCATGAGTACATTCAAATTAGGGTCTGACATTTGCAGTATTCCACAGTGGCACCGCCAGCCCGATAATTGGTGGGGGTGGGGGTGAATATTCATATCTTCGTGTTCTGCATTATTAACTTCTTCTGAAATTGATTGTTTTTATAGTCTGTGAACACAAATATATGAATATTACCCCCCCCCCCAATAATCGAGCTGGCGCCACTGGTATTCCGATACTTAAAGATTTGGTTTAATTTGCCTGGATACCAAACTCATGTGAATGTCTTGTATCCCGATACCCTGGTTCCAGAGGCTCTTTGCAAGGTGAAAAAAAGGAGAGGCGAGAAGGAAGAGCCTCTGGTCGCATCGGTTGCAAATCCCACTTCCACACTTGATTATAGGTTCAGAATTTGAATCTCGCATGTAATTGGCCATTTGTAAAAATATGTCAATGAAACCGGTTTGGGAAATAAACATTATTGTAAGCTAATTATAGCTACTGTATAAATAGCTATAAATAGCTATATATATATATATATATATATATAACTAGCTTACAGTAATGTTTATTTCCCAAACCAATTTGCCATGATAATTTTTTTACAACTGGCCGATCACATGTGAGATTCAAATTCTGAACCTATAATCAAGTGTGGAAGTGGGATTTGCAACCGAATGTGTCCAGAGGCTCAAGATTCCTTCTTTCCTCTAATTTTTTTTTTGCCTTGCAAAGAGCCTCTGGAACCAAGGTAGTATCCCGACTGGATATACTAAGAAAATTTCAAGTATTTTGAAAATATTGAGCATACCTGTGTGGTGGTCTCCTGAAAGCGTTTGAATACTATCCGCTTGCGACTAGCCTTTCCACATTCAGGACTAGTGTATAGAAGTTTAATTTGTTGAACAACTAGCAGAATCATAGGAACTTATTTGGTAACCAGTGTCGAGAAATTGGAAATCAGTGGCACACACTATGGGGGGGGGGGGAGTTTTTGAAAAACCTATAAAACTCTGATACTAAATATTACAATTCACAAGAATTGTTTAGGAACAAGTGGCAAGCATGCAATCGCACCCATATAACGTAATTTATAATATATTAAATAATGACTATTAAATAAAATTTCAGCTAAAGTTAGCATTATATAATCAATACAGTCAATACAATTATATTGAAAGCTAAGAAACTACAGATATAGACCCAATAATAAATTTAAAGAAGTTTAAATTAACTCATAAATTCTACATGTTAATCCCCGAGCCGACGGCGCGAAGCGCCGTGCGAGGGTACTATTATTCCCCCCGGCTATTTACACCCGGGGAAACGAAAGCATTAGCGGAGTCTAAAGTTCATCAAGTATCGCGGGCGTGGGTGACCAACGGTGTTGAGTGGGTGGTCATCCTCACTGATCTCAAAAATATGGCGGACTGTCATGAATAGCGGACACTGATTGGTCCAATTTAAAGTTTGCATCATAACGACTGTATGACGACAGCGAAATAGCAAACAGTTCTTGATTTGATCACAGATTTGATGATTGATAAATTTCTTGCAAATATACTTCAATTTTACTCGCATTTTTGCAAGATTTTGTAAATTTCAAGATAGAAACGGCGAAAGAATCGGCTAAAAGAAGGGAGCCGACGTTAACGAAGGTAAGTTTGTGTTAAATATTGATTTTATAATTGCTTTAAAACCCGACGGCCTTTGGCCCTTTGCGTATATGAAATAACTAAACAAGACAGCATATAATTTCAGTCAATTCAGTGTATTATTAAGGGCCATTCCATTTAATATCCACACCCCCCCTACGGATGAGGTCAGTAAAATTTTAACCCCTAAGAAAAAAAGATCAAAGTACCGAGTACAAAACACCCCTCAGAAATTTGTAAATTTTCCCCTTACCCCTCAGAAAAATCGCAGAGATCAAAGGATGCCGACATGCTTAACCCCTCAGAAACGGCTTTTTGAGTCACCCTTCAGAAAAACTCATCCGTGGACATTAAATGGAATGGCCCTAATACTGATTCCTTTTTTATTATATTGAATTTTTTTACTAAAAAGAAAGCAAAGTTATTTGCATGCGAGAATTTGAAATCATTTTGTTGCAAACTCAAAGTTTATCGATAAAGCCATTTAATTAAAGCCAGGCAATTTAGTTTTATAAAGAACGTTTTAAAACGTTTTGCGAAGCTTTTGTGGTTGAATATTACCTTAAATTGAAGCTTATATTACGTATAATAACATACCTAACAAATATATGTTGGGAAATTGATAATTTTGTAATTAAAATTGATATTTTTAGGCAATTTTTCATTTGTAAGAATATTCTTAAAAAATTATCGTGTTATTACCATGACAACAACTTTGGATACTTCATGTTTGGAAAATACAATGGTTTTGTCAGCAAGGCGAGGGTTTCTGCATGCATGTATTTTCTAGTACGAGCTATAAATCAATTTTGGAAAGTCAAAAAATCACTATATGATGGGTAATGCTACACGTAAGTGTGTTGAAAATTTAGGCGTGATAGCTGAAATTTAATGAATTGACTTTGGATGTGTTTTTTGTCTCGCTCAGTCACAGAGACGAAAAACCCTGCTTCGATGAATGTGCAAGTACCAGCAGCCTTTATATATACCAGTATACAGTACTGTATGCTCCTAGCTCCTCTTGCTAATGACGTGAAACCTTAAGAAAACGCAACGTGCCTCAATGAGCAAACAATATATTGTTGATGCAACTTAATGGTGGGTGGAGGAGGGATGGGTTTAGTCGGGTTGGGGGGGGGTTAACATTTTTTGTGTTTTGAAGCCTCAGAAGAGCAGTTTCCGTGGTCTCTAAGAGGAATTTTATCAAAGTTGTGAAGTTCTTGCATTTAAACTTTCGAGATTTTTCCTTTACAAGTCCCCCTCGATCCGCCCCCCGCCTCCAGTTTCGAAACAACGTTCGCAAGCATGAACGAATTGGATAAGTCGAATTGTAAATGCCTGTACAAGTATGAATTGAAGCATATATGAAAAGAAATCATTACCAGAAATGAATGAAAAAATGTCCACCGCTTGTATACTAATTTGCATACAATCCATATATAATATAATGGCTTTAAATTTTTAATAAGGTATATAAAGTGGACAATGTTGTAAGTTGTTTGAAGTAAAATTTTACCCATTTTTAATCGTTCACGCACTGATGATTTGATTTAGATCAATTTATGCAACATCGTGGTAGAATTAGAAAAAGGGGCTATAGAGGGGCAACGCGCCTCTTTAATCTTTATAACGAAAGCGCTCTTTTCTAATCGCTCCCCGTGTAGTTACAATGTTGCGAGAGTTGAAACCATTTTTTCCCATATACATATTATGTACTATTTAAAGCACGCGTAGGAGTGTTTTATCACATATAAAACACGATGCGTAGCGGAGTGTTTTATATGTGATAAAACACGACTACAAGTGCTTTAAATGGCTTAAAAAACGACTCATCTTATACGAGTTCATTGGCGAAGTAATTTTTAAAATAAACTTTGTCTAAACCGAGAAAATCAAAGCTAAAGTTTACGTAAATTAACATGATTTTATATCACATATAAAACCACGACACGCTTATGATTTTTCTTTGTGTTTTGCTCCTGAATTATTAATGAGTTTTTTAAATATATATATATATATATATATATATATATATATATACCCTAGAATTCAGCGCCTTAGTACGATGGAAGAGGTGTCAGGATATGTGGAGATATTTGTTCCTGTATCGCAAGAGTGCATGGGTATTGTCATCGGAACTAGGGGAAGAAATATAAAGAAAGTTAAACAAGAAACAGATACGACGATTACATCTTGTAATGGACATAACGTGGAGAGCGAATCTGGTTTTATAGTCACTGGCACTGTAACTAATTGTGAAAAAGTACGGGAGGCTATAAGATGCCAATTAGTAAGTATAGGCTACTTATTATTTTCATCGGTGGAAATTAGGCAATCTGATTATTTTTCGCATCTTGAGTAAATGGAGTAAAACAATTATCAAACCTTTATAAAAATATAAAACAAAGTATAAAACCTGTCCAAAAAGTTTGAAAACGTACCCGATAGCTAGATTACGAAAATGAATTGTATCAAGCTCTAAATAGGTCCTACTAAGCACGTTGTGCATCATATTGACAATATTTTGATAGAAATGCCACTGAAAGTCAGAAAGTTATTTGACATGTCTAAAACGTACGCCGAGAAAGGTAGGCCTATATTTTTGTTTTAAGGTGGCTCGATACATGCAGTTTTCAAAACTTCAGGTGTAAAATAGTTTGGCAGTTAATTTTAAACGTCGCACTTTTGAGTTTTATGCAGCATCTATTTTGATGTTTCTTCTTTCAAATTATTGTATTTGTGCACTTGACATCCATGCGTTATACAGTAGAACACGCACAATGGCGCGAGATAGCATGAGCAAATCTCCACGCCAGCTAGATCGTAGATGTAAGTTCTTTAATTAATTAAAGAAGGTTCAACTGCTGTGAAAACAAGTCATGAATATATTATCTACCCATTTGTGTCATGCATTTTTCACTGGTATAAATATTGTAAACAAAGTCAAAGTCTGTGATTAAAAACATATTTTTAAGCTTATTATCGTGAAACGATAAAGAATTAAGACAAAAAAATTGAAACAGCTTACCCTCTTCATTATCCTTTTAGTAGAAAATCGTTGATTAAATTAAAACAGCTACATTTATTGTATATTGGTATGTGCTTTTGATCCGTCGTAAGCTGTTTAGGATGATGCAGCATCATGCGATTCGTAGAGGGCCATTAGGTAAGATACTGTAGTCCTCACTACTGTAAAATAGATAGACAGCTTTATTTATTCAGAGTAGTCCTATCGACGACGAAAACATGTCACCGTTATCAACAGGAGCTGTGATTTTAAGATTTACAAAATTGCTACATTAGATTACATTACAAGTTACAACAATACTTTATAATGGTCGTAGTTAAATTAAATTAAGGTAATTACTAGAGGTTGTAACCTTAGGCTGATAAAGCAGATCACTGCTTCTGGTGAAACGCAGAGATACACTTTTAGTAAAACTGATAAATAATTATTAAAATAATTGTGGACAATTACCATCAATACATTTTCCAACTAGATTACAAATATGATGTTCCCGCCTACTTTCAATAAAGGAAAGGGTAGCAAATTCAGTGGAATGACCTTTTCTGCAGAAGCCATATCAGTATGTACCTAAAAGTGTGAGATATTCAACTAATTGAATATATAAACAACTCGTGAGCAGCTTAGATACCGTAAGCAATATGGAAATGGTTCGATTGTTGTCCATATCGTCTTTTTTACTTTCTTAAACAGTATAATAACACGAGCTGATTTGCATTCTGTGGGCACCATGGCTTGGATTAAGGATGCATTGATAATATTCGTTAACGGTTGGGCAACAGCATCTTGAAGTAGCCGTGGACGAACGTTGTCTAATCTGCCTTACTGGATTTAAAGAGTCATTGCCAACCACAATGCATTGTGCGCCCAAACCTGCTTGGCGGCCATTTTAATGGCGGAATAATATATGTTTCGGTTTTCAATCCATAATATAGTACTACCATCCTGTGGTTATACTTGCTCATTTTAACTTTTTTATTCTAAAATTGCACCAAAGAAATGTTTATAATCGTCATTTGTTGCTATTTGTCACTTCCGAAGGTAAGATGTAAACAGATGCATTGTGATTGACAATGATTCTTTAAGACAACGAAGCTGGTAACGAATAGGAACGAAATCTATGTTGCGTCCAATAATATAGCCGTAAATGAGACAGACAAAGTTTCTTTGAAAGAGCTCAGATGTCGATGAGCAGTGTCGGCAAAAAATTTTTGAATGCATTTGCAATTGTGTTCATATCAGATGAAATATTCTCCTCAATCCAAATCCTAGAAGGCATTTCTTTACCTTCTCTGGGTAAGATTTTCTTAACAGTTTGCCAGAATAAATGTGGGTAGCCACTATTTTGCTCAATAAGACATTTGTCGTAGCTGTCTTTGTCAACTTTTACTTTATTAGTCACACGATTTCTAAAATATCGGTGCTTTGCCCAGTCTTCCAATTTGTTTCTTTTCCTTGTTTTCGTTAAGGTGGCTCAATACAGTTTTAAAAAAAATGAAAAATTCACGATTTAGATGCGTATTTTGGGACAATATTATATTACTTGTTCACAAACAAAAAGAACCTTACTTATATGAAACAACATCTAAAGAGTTTCAATTTTTGCACAAAAGTCACGCAACTGCCGTTGTTATGGCAACAATGACGTTCTAAGATGGCGGATATTTTCGTATTAAAGTAATTTAACTCGTAAGCGACATCGTGACCCACAAATTTTATTTTAAAAAATGATTTCTGTTATAAATTATTTTGACAATTTAGAAAAAATTCTGTGGAGTCAAAAAAAATATTATGAATAATTCATTTTACGTAATTTTAAAAATTTCGGTTGCACAGAATTTTTTTTAAAATTGCTAAAGTAATTCAATGTACTAAGACAAACCATTTTATAAAATAAAATTTAGGGATCACCGATGTCGTTTTCGAGTTAAATTACTTGAAGCCAAAATATCCGCTATATTTAAACGTCATTGTTGCCATAGCAACGGCAGTTGCGTATCTTTTGTGCAAAAATTCAAACTCTTTAGATGTTGGTTTACATAAGTAAGATGCTTTTTGTTTTTGAATAACTAATACGTGTCCAAAAATACGCACCTAAATCACAATTTTTCCATTAAAAAAAAATGAATTGAGCCACCTTAACATATAGCTGTTGCGCTGACGAATGTCATGTTTAATATCTTTATTAAGCCATGGACAATTGTCAAATTCCCTCGCACGTTTTGTTTTATTGGTGCATACCGATTAGCGACAGAGACAAGTGCAGATTTAAAAGTTTACCATAGGTCGTTTACAAATTTCCCCACTGGGAATTTGCTCAGTATCTCTCAGTACGTCAAAAAGCTTTATGATCGTAATTAGCTTTATGATCGTAAAATCTTAATTAATGATAATTAATCTATAAATACCTTCTCAAAATAATGTTATTATTATTGCTATCGCATGCTATTATAATTAGCGAACGCTGACAAGCATTTCGAACATGATTATGGACTCGAATTTTGTAAATAGGCGAGAATTTGATTAGAAATATTTAACAATTTATTATTGAATGTGGTTGTGCATGATATGAAGAATTATAATGTATAAATCGAAGCTGAAGGCTGAGGTTGATAACTCAAACTGAGGGCTTAATCATTTTTCATATATTGAAAAAAACTGAATTCAATAATTATTTTGTTAATATATATATATAAATATAAAAGACAAATCGCATCTGTGGGTTCAATTTGTCGAAATATTATTTTGGTCATATTTGGTTAGCTATATTGAGTTGATTTGACAATATCACAGTTGGCTATTAGCCAATCGGAAACCATGATTTTTTAAAAATATAAATAATAGTAAATAAGATATTAAGGGATCAAAGAAGAAGGCACTTTTCAGTGAGATGTTTAACTTAATACCAAAGTGTAGCTGTTGGACAATAGATAACTTGCATGTTAGACTAATTTTTGATTTAGGCCAAAAAAGTAAATTCCCGCAAAGACTTATTAAAATCAGTAAAACTGCCAAATTTGGTTGCGAAATGTTGTAAAATGTAAAAACTATGGCCTTGCGAAGTTTGCACATTTTCAGTATATTTGTATTACGTGCGGAAATTGTTACCATTTTTGAGCCTATATTTTCTGCATTTTCCAACATTTCGCAACCAAATTTTGCAATTTTACTAATTTCATTATTTTCTTTTTAACTGTTGTGTTTTATTCCCTTCTCTTCACTTAGATTAAAATTTAGTCTAACATGCAAGTTGTCCATTATATATCAGTGTTTCTTCATGTATAATACCTCGTCTTCCAGAGGCTTAATTAGAGATATCTTTCGGTGTGAAGATATTCCGCTGTGTTCGCCAAACACCAAAACGATAGCGTTTGAAGGGTTCATGACTGTCAAGAAACGTTCTCTGGGATGATGATTGAAAATCCCAGGTATAAGGCGATTGTAAATCCCAGGTATAAGCGAGCGATTGAAAATCCCATGCTGCATGGTTTTCGTTATTGTCTTAAGAGCGATATTTTTAACAGCGTTATGAAAAATTAACGCTACCCTACAGTATATACTTTTCAGCCTATCCGGTGAGGACACACTCAGAGTATAAGATCAGAAACAGCTCTAATATATGTTATAATACATGTTACAGGATAACGCAACTGCTACCATAAAGGAACCAGTCCCTCAGCAATTTGTTCGTTTGCTGATAGGAAAACATGGCAGTGATAATTTCCGAGGGATAGAGAAAGAATGTAGCGTGAAAATTACCTGGCCAAAATTCAGTGGAAGAGAAAAACATGTGATTTTTGACGTTAAAGGTTTGAGATCTAATTGTGAGCGAGCAAGAGAGATGCTAAGAGCAAATCTGGTAAATATATTCATGTAGTAAATTATACGTAGCATGCATGCAGAGTTGAAATACTACACATGTATCATGAAAATGCATGAAAAACTGAGTCATGGAAAATGACGAGCTATGAAACTATACGAATAATTGTTGAGAGTCAATGACGCGCATGCTTGGTTTCTTCGTTGAGATCAATTTGATTATAAGCCTATATGATTTGTTTCATTAGTTGTTGTTTATCGTTAGCCTGGGACTAAAGCGTTGTAGCCGCCGTTCTTCCAAAGTTTCTTAGTTAATAAAAAATAAAAAAATTGAGTGCAATAATTATTTTTGTAAGAGAAATCAACGTGGCAGCAAATCTTGCACGGCAACGTAAATACAAATTTTCAACGAGTTTCTGTGCACTTCATGTCGAGAAATGTTGACTCTGAGAATAACTGCTAAATGCATTTTTAGATAATGCATGGCGATCAAATACTGTTTATTGCCTGCGATCATTGGCAGATTTTTTGTGAAAACGCGGGGCTGCAATGCAAAAACATCCCCGAGTATTTTGACTCAAAAATGTGAAACCAGGTGAAATAAATAAAGCAACCAGAAAATTTTACCATGTTGATTTAACCGAAATGGTGCTATTTTGATTTTGATGTTGCCACGCCGATTTATAAAGGAATGGAAGATCAGGAGACAATGTGGGCGCTGTCGTTGTTTTCTATACTATTTGGATCCGGGTTGTTTTTTTTAGAAAAAGTGGGAAGATAATGAAGTTAAATCTGTTTCATCAGAGGCATCTGGATCTCAAACACATTCAAAGGTAATACTATAATCATGCATGCATGAAAAACACAGAACCATTGCCATTTACTGATGAAATATGTGTACTTAATTTCCATCTCCTCAAAATCCGTCGTCGTCGCGCATACATGCTATTAATATATAACCCTGGTTTGGAGATGCGGAAAAGAGGAGCGGTTATTTCATCGATGTACTAAAAACGAATTACTTGCATGGTATAAATGAAAGTAATTCTGCTCGCCAACTTCCGGTAACATTCACACCATGAATTAAACACGCGACTCTTTTAATTATTTTGATATTTTTTTTACAGTATATAGAGTTATATAATGATCATGAATAGTTATAACTTATGTAACCTTAGGAAGGATGAAACAAAGCTAATATTACATTAAGTATAGTTCGACAGCAAAAACTTGCGAACCTGCACCTTATTCTCACACTTTGCGATTAACAACATCGCGTAATATAATTTACTGTTATACAGTTGAAGCCATATTTCAATGTGATATGTAAATATAGAGTTGATGACCATGCTAACCATGATTGTATTTGTGTGTATTTGGATGGCTGAAAATAGTTTTTATGTATTTTATACTTCTTATTAAATATTATACTTCTTATTATTTATATTTATATTCTTATTTGACTGCATATAGTTTTAATTTGTAAATTTCCTCTTTCAGCGAATTATTATCATTTATAGACCCGGAGCGAGGGGGATTCGGCGGGATGTTACCCGAAGTGATGATATTTTCCGAGGGGCTTTGCCCGGACGAAAATATCATCACTGAGGGTAATATTTCCACGAATCCCCCGAGCGGAGGGTCTATAAATGATATATTATACCGAAGGTTAAAGAACCCGCCAAGTTCAGAATAAACTTTAAAACTTGAAGCGAATACAATTTTTAATTTCTTATGCATACCTGAGTTTTTGACGTTTTTTCTTTAAAATGTTTGAGCATGCATCCTTTGGATCGTTGAAGGTAACATACGTCTTGAAAATCTTTGGTTAACTTAAATCAATAAATCTTCTGTACGAAATTACAAACAACAGCTCGCGAACGCCATATTGTTTCAGAGCGTGGTGTCCACGCGTCACGCGTGAGATACTATAATATCCCACGGTGGATCTACCGTGCGATATTATAGTATCTCACGCTGCATTGCGAAATCATGAGTTTGAGTGAAATACCGTAAAAAATCACATTATCACGTGGTACAAATGATGTTTTTTCATTGGACAATTTGAATGTGAGGTATTATATTATAAAAAATGCTAAATAGTTTGTTTCTTTTTGCAACGAAGGTGATTGGTGATGTAAAAAATATCGAAGTACCAAAAGAATATATACATATTGTTGTGGGCAAAGGACGTAACAATTTAGAAAAAATTGAAACGAAAACAGGAACCAAAATCATAGTGCCCCCTCGCCAAGATGTCGAAGGTAGGTTACAATACGAAAATAAACGTTTTGTTTCCATGTTACTCGATCTGAAATCAGTGTGACCAGATTTGGTAATTTTAATTACTTTTGGTGATATTTCGTGATGTTTCTAACTTTTTTGGTAATTGAAAATGTTTGGTAATTTTTTTAGTAATTTCTCTTACTTAAGTTAGAAATATTTCTGTTATCGCATGATATTCAACCAAATACGCCATAATGACACAATCTGTTATTCAAAATTTCAATGAGAACAGTTGCAGGTCCATGTCTGCAAAGCTGTATATCCAAATTACAAGCTGCTGGCCCAAGCTGTCCAGCTGAATCGACGGAATCCTGCTGATCACCATTCACCCAGACCCGATCATGGCTGCGCGCGGCGCTATATTTGCATTCTGCACAATTGCAATCAAAATACAAGTGAGAAAGAAAAACATGGAAAAAACATAGTTACAGTGATGGAAAGCGTTTCACTGATTTTGTTTTGCTGAGATGTTTTATTGATTGACTGCAGAAATTTAGTAATTTTTTCTACGTTTTGGTATTTTTTTGCACGCTTATTTAGTAATTGCCTTGCAAAATATCTGGTCACGCTGTGACTGAAATGCTATTGATTGTTTGCAGGAAAGTCTCCGAAGCTTTCTTTCTGTTGGCATAAAACCTCAGCTTTCAATATTTTTTTTCAAATTGTAAGACGTGTTTTTGCTCGCTATTTGACATAAACTTTATATTTATTAGTTACCGGATTGGGTTGCTGTGGCACCTGAGCCCGCGTTAGTCATTGGTCATTTTAGTGTCGGCCATTTTGTACATTGTAAAACGTATTAAGTTTATAGCTGGCTTTAAGTAGGATAAAGCCATGCAATTAGTATGGCTTCTATTATTACTTTATGATTACGACAATTTATCCTACTTAAAATAAACCCAAAATAGAATCGCGAAAATCAGTTTGGACAACGAAAACATGGATACGCTACTCAAACCAGCACGACTCGACTTAGATCCAAATTCGCCCACAGCAACGAAATAATGGAGGCATTGGCACCGTACCTTTACTTTTTTTATTGATGAATGTGGCGAAAAGGCTCCTGATGAATATAGAACTCTTGTAAATTATGTGTCTCATAACGTTTATGAATATATCGAAGACTGCAAGGACTATAAATCGGCCATTCGCGTACTAGAACAACTATTTGTCAAGACACCAAATGAAATATTTGCTAGACATTTGCTGGCAACAAGACGGCAGAAATCCGGCGAGACTCTTACTGAATTTCTCCAAGAACTTCGAAAACTTAGCAAAGATTGTAACCTTAAAAACGTAACTGCTGAACAGTATCGTGAGAAATTGGTTCGTGATTCCTTTATTAATGGCCTCTTATCACCTTTGATTCGCCAACGACTCCTAGAAAATAAACAGCTCGACCTTCAAACTGCTTTTGACCAAGCAAATGCCTTGGACTTGGCTCAAAAGAATTCTGAAGCATATAGGATGCCTGAAATACCTACAACTGCAGCAGTCTCCTCCCCTCCGACAGATGAGGTTGCTGGAGCTCATGCCTTAGATTATGATTCTCTAGCAGCTACATTCACATCGAAGAAATGCTACTTTTGTGGTGATAATCTCCACAACAGAAGAAGTTGTCCAGCCCGGAATTCATTGTAACAACTGTGGAAAGAAAGGACATTATGCTAAAGTTTGCAAGTCAAAGACGCCTTCAATCACCACTGCTTCTATGTTCACGCCTACTCTTTGTTCAATTGTTGCAAGTTGTCCAGAAAGTCTAAAACAAGCATCTGTAAAAGTCTCTATTGGCGGTATTGAACTGACCGCACTCATTGACTCTGGGAGTTCGGAAAGTTTTATAAGTGAAACTATGGCAAGGAAACTGTCTCTCAAGCTTCATCCATCAACACAGAAGATATCTATGGCCCTAACATCTTTTAAGACTCAGATCCTTGGTCACTGTTTTACGGATATTGTAATTAATCAACTTTCCTACTCATCCATTCGTTTTGGGAGTCTTGAAAGATCTCTGTAGTGACATTATCCTTGGGCAAGACTTCCAGAAGAAGCACAAGCGGGTCACCATAGAGTTTGGCAGTACTAGACCAGAACTAGTAATTCCTAGGCCTGCCTGTCCTCTTTCTTCGACAGCCTCCATCGAGGAGCCTTCATTGTTTGGAAACCTTCTCCCTGAATGTAAGCCTATCGCCAGTAGATCTAGGCGCTTTAGCAAAGAAGACCAGGAGTTTATCAATCAGGAAGTTACAAAACTTCTGTCTGAAGGAATTATCGAGCCTACCATAACACCATGGAGAGCACAAATTGTTGTTTCTAAAGATCCCTCAAACCAGCACAAGAAGAGGCTCTGTATTGATTACTCTCAAACCATCAATCAATACACAGAGCTTGATGCGTATCCTCTTCCTCGGATCGATGACATGATCAACAACCTAGCACAATACAAAGTTTTCTCAACGTTTGATTTAAAGAGTGCTTACCATCAAGTACCGATAAAGGAGTCCGATCGAAAGTTTAGTGGGTTCGAAGCTAATGGAAGACTGTATCAATTTTGCCGTATACCGTTTGGCGTCACTAATGGAGTGGCTGCTTTCCAGAGAGCAATGGACAATTTTGCTGACGAGGAGAACTTCAATGACACATTTCCATATCTGGACAACATAACGGTGGCTGGGCGAAATCAAAAGGAACATGACGTAAATGTTCAGGCATTTCATGAAGCAGTCCAACGCAGGAACCTTACCTTGAATGAAAGCAAATCAATCAAATCCAAGACATCCATCAATGTATTAGGTTATCGGGTTGGCAATGGGGTGATCGCTCCTGACGAGGGAAGACCCCGCCCACTTCAAGATTTTCCGCCGCCAGAGAGTATCCGCTCCCTTCGTAGGGTGATTGGCATGTTTGCTTACTAGGCGAAGTGGATACCGAATTTCTCTGATAAGATAAGACCCTTGACGCAAGCTACTACCTTCCCACTAGATAAGGCAGCTTTATCGGCATTTAATACGCTTAAGAAGGAACTTGAAGGTGCAACTCTTCATTCCATAG